AAATAAATTATATTAAAATAGTGTTTGACAGCGCCCTTGTATCGAAAATAACTATTTATTCTATTTTAATATAAAAGTTTTTTGTTTTAAATATCTTAATAATGTATTTTTTTAATTTTTTTCAAATTTACGACTAATTTGACAAAGAGTTTTGGCCCTAACGATGAAACGGGGTTCTCAAAAGCGGTTTGCCACCTCAATGTAAATTCATCTTTGATTAAACCTGTGGGATTGACTTGGAATTTTTATTTTTCTTCGTTATTCATAATAATAAATAAACTGCATTACAATGACTTTCATCTTCTAAATTAAAAAATATTAGCACATATTAGCAAAATAAATTCAAAGTTCGTATTATTAAATTATTGTTTCTTAATTTTTCTGGAAGAATTTTTCTCGAAATGTGTGGAAAAGGTCAAATAGAACACTACGGAAGTTTCGAGAGTATTCGGTAACGGTCGATACACACACGAATAGAAGATTCTTGAATGAACACTCGGGAAAACTTCGAGAATATTCGGGACGATTTCGCCGTTTCATATATAAGAGCGCTGGCGCGGCGCGCTGTCAGTGTAGTTTGAACAAGTAAAGCGAAAGCATCAAAGCGAATCAAAAGCGATCAAAGCAACTTTAATCAACTTGAGTGAATTGTTTTTTATTAGTGAAATCAAAGTAAATCCAAAAGTGCAAAAATGGTGAAATCTCCAGCAGTTGGTATTGACTTGGGAACAACCTACTCCTGCGTCGGAGTGTGGCAACATGGAAAAGTCGAAATCATCGCCAACGACCAAGGTAACAGAACAACCCCAAGTTATGTTGCCTTCACCGACACCGAGCGTCTTCTCGGAGACGCTGCCAAGAACCAAGTTGCCATGAATCCCAACAACACTATCTTCGACGCAAAACGATTAATCGGAAGGAAATTCGACGACCCGAAGATCCAGCAAGACATCAAACACTGGCCCTTCAAAGTCATCAACGATTGTGGCAAGCCGAAAATTCAMGTCGAATACAAGGGAGAAATTAAGAAATTTGCACCGGAAGAAATTAGTTCAATGGTGCTRACGAAGATGAAAGAAACAGCTGAAGCTTATTTGGGAACTAGTGTGAGGGACGCCGTCATCACAGTCCCAGCATATTTCAACGACTCCCAAAGACAAGCCACGAAAGACGCCGGAGTCATCGCTGGTTTGAATGTCATGAGGATAATTAATGAACCGACAGCAGCAGCWTTRGCTTAYGGTTTAGATAAGAACTTGAAGGGTGAAAGAAACGTCTTGATCTTCGATTTAGGTGGAGGTACTTTCGACGTATCYATTTTGACTATTGACGAAGGATCGTTGTTTGAAGTACGAGCCACTGCAGGTGATACCCACCTCGGTGGTGAAGACTTCGACAACCGTCTTGTCAACCACCTCGCCGACGAATTCAAACGCAAATACAAAAAAGATCTGAGAAGCAATCCGAGAGCTTTACGACGTTTGAGAACCGCCGCTGAAAGAGCGAAACGAACCTTGTCTTCGAGCACTGAAGCATCGATTGAAATCGACGCCCTCTTCGACGGCATCGACTTTTACACCAAGATCAGTAGAGCAAGATTTGAGGAATTGAATGCTGATCTATTCAGAGGCACACTTCAACCTGTGGAAAAAGCCCTCACTGATGCTAAAATGGACAAAGGAATGATTCACGACATCGTCCTCGTCGGCGGTTCCACTCGAATTCCGAAAATCCAACAACTGCTCCAGAATTATTTCAATGGAAAATCGCTGAATCTCTCGATCAACCCCGATGAAGCCGTAGCCTATGGTGCCGCCGTCCAAGCAGCTGTTTTGAGCGGTGAAACCGATTCGAAGATCCAAGACGTGCTTCTCGTCGACGTAACACCACTCTCACTGGGTATCGAAACCGCCGGAGGTGTCATGACGAAGATTATCGAACGCAATGCAAGAATCCCATGCAAACAAACTCAAACCTTTACCACTTATTCCGACAACCAACCGGCCGTCACCATCCAAGTCTTCGAGGGTGAAAGAGCCATGACGAAAGACAACAACCTCTTGGGTACTTTCGATTTGACTGGAATTCCACCAGCACCACGTGGAGTCCCGAAAATCGAAGTTACTTTCGACCTAGACGCCAATGGCATTCTCAACGTTTCTGCCAAAGACACAAGTTCCGGCAATTCTCGCAATATTACTATCAAGAACGACAAAGGAAGATTGTCACAGAAAGACATCGACAGAATGGTATCAGAAGCGGAACAATATAAAGAAGAGGATGAAAAACAGAGACAAAGAATTGCCGCCAGGAACCAACTCGAAGGCTACATCTTCCAACTCAAGCAGGCTGTATCCGATTGTGGCGACAAATTGTCATCAACAGACAAAGAAACTATAACAAGGGAATGTGATAGTTGTTTGCAATGGTTAGATGCCAACACTCTTGCCGAGAAAGAGGAATACGAAGATAGACAAAAACAACTGACTCAAATCTGTAGTCCGATTATGGCGAAATTGTATCAACAAGGAGCCCCTCAAGGGGGACAACAGATGCCCGGAAGCTGCGGACAACAAGCTGGCGGTTTCGGAGGACAGAGACAAGGTGGACCGACCATTGAAGAAGTCGACTAGAAATTTGTAAAGCTTTAACCAATATCAATTTCTTCCAATTTGTTTTTCCTAGTCTTGTTTGTAAATAGTTTTACTATTGTTTTAAGTAGATAGGACTGAATTAAATTAAGACTGATTCTTTTGTAAATTATTTGTAAAATAAAGTATTTTTTATTTAAATAATCAGTGGCGTTTTATTTCTGTTACGTAAATTTAAAATTGAAAAAAAACAATAAAATAAAGCAGCAACACAATGAGTATTCAAGTAAAAACTCAAATGGGATTACAAATTTTTCCAACCACTTAGAAAATTAAAAAAATACAGTTACATAACTTTATTTTTTCTAAACTTAGGGTCACGTCATTAAAAAAAATATATTATTTGACCCTCTTTCTTTTTTGTAACATTTCTGGTAAAAAACATCACCTATACTTCTTGTGTTAAGTGAAAGTCGGGCATAGATTCTGTTATAATTTCACCGTTAACCTTCTTTTTACACGTACGTAGTCGAGCTAAAATATCACCCAAATAATTTTAAACAATTCAAGTATTGATTTATTTATCAATTATCTTTATTGCACCAATAAAAAATAATCTATTACTTTCTTAAATTTTTAGGTCGAACAGCCATCAAAAGCTGCCAAACAAGCCGACTCAAAATCACTCAAATCAGCTGCCGACATCAACGCTGAAATAATAAAACAAGGCGACATTGTACGAAACTTGAAAGCTCAAAAAGCATCCAAAGAGGAAATTGACATTGCAGTCAAAGCCCTTCTCACGTTGAAAGCTGACTATAAAATAATAACCAAAACCGATTGGAAACCCGGATGTGTGCCCCCAACAATTTCTGTATCTGACACTAGCGACCTAGATGCGAAAATATCAGCACAAGGCGACAAAATACGAAAATTAAAGGCTGACAAAGCTGACAAAAGTGTGGTGGAAGTTGAAGTTAAATCTTTATTAGCTTTGAAACAAGAGTACAAACAGAGGTTTGGGAGAGACTGGGCCCCCGCGACTGCAATACCTATCAAAACTGAACCCGGAGATGGCGATTTAAATAGCAAAATTACCGCACAAGGTGATAAAGTAAGTAATTACATGTGTGTCTTTTTTTAACTAATTAAATAAACACTTAGGTGCGTAAACTGAAATCTGAGAAAGGCGATAAAAGTGCGATTGATGCTGAAGTTAAAGTTTTATTGGCTCTGAAACAGGAGTACAAACAAAAATTTGGTAAAGATTGGACTCCGGGAAGTAATCCAGTTAAACCGGTTGAAACTTTAAGTAACAAAAACGAATCGGAATTGTTAGATGCTATCACGAAACAAGGAGACATTGTTAGAAAATTAAAAGGAGAAAAAGCTGCCAAAAGTGATATAGATCGTGAAGTTAAAACTTTATTATCTTTGAAAGACGATTTCAAAAAATTAACCGGAAAAGAGTGGAAGCCAGGCATGAAACCTGAAAATAATATTTCAGTCACTTCTCCTGGTGATAATTCAATTTCTAAAGATGCATTAGTGGCTAAAGTTACCGAACAGGGGAATGTTGTGAGAGATTTGAAAGGAAAAAAAGCGAGCAAAGTAATTTTAAAAATGCAAGTTTGCACGTATCTCACTGTTGTGATTTTAGGACGAAATTGATAAAGCCGTCAAAATTTTATTAGACTTGAAGGCTGAATATAAGACACTAACCGGGACTGATTTTCCAGCCCCTGGAAGAACTCCAACCAAACCAAAAGAAACACAAGTTAAAGTGGCGAAAAGTGCCCCTAAAGAAAAGCATAAGAAACCTGCGCCTCCTCCAGTAATTAATTAAATTTTAATAAGTGAATTTTTGTCATCTTGTTATTTTAGGCCGATGAGGGCGGTTTGAAAAAACAAACACGTCTAGGCCTAGAGGCCACAAAAGAAGAAAATCTTTCAGATTGGTACTCTCAAGTGATCACCAAAGGCGAAATGATTGAATATTACGACGTTTCCGGTTGTTATATCTATAGACCTTGGTCATTCGCGATTTGGAAAGTCATCAAAGAGTGGTTTTCGGCCGAAATCGAGAAACTCGGTGTTGAGGATTGCTATTTCCCAATTTTCGTATCGCGGAGTGTTTTGGAGAAAGAAAAAACACACATTGCAGATTTTGCACCGGAAGTGGCATGGGTTACAAAATCCGGGGATTCAGACATGGCGGAACACATTGCAGTGCGGCCAACTTCCGAAACTGTCATGTATCCAGCTTATGCGAAATGGATTCAATCTTATCGAGATCTCCCGGTCAAACTAAATCAATGGAACAACGTTGTGGTAATTCTAAATGACATTTCAAATAACGAAAATTCCGACAGAGCTAAATTTTGGTGGAGACCTTCGGTACAGCATTAGGAATAAAGTGTCAAAAGTTCCCATCGATCCCATGTGTGCTAAAAAAGTTATTCGGGGTCAAAAGTCAAAATTTGATGTTTTTTAGATATTTCTCGAAAACGGTAAGTTTTATCAAAAGAATAGCCCAGACAAAAATTGTAGATCTTAAAATTATCTACAAAAATGGTCCTTATACTTTTTTTTTCTAAGAATCACCATTCCTGAGATATCGCGATTCTAAAAGTTGGAGTCACGTTCTACATGATATGCACATACAGAGTGCGCCAGAACTTGCGCTCCAAAGACAAATACCATGTAGGGTAAGGAGAAAAAATTTAAAAAAATTCTATCTATAAAAATTTCAAAGTTATGAGAGTTTAAATTTTGCACTTTACTCTATTTATTTCTGTTGGAAAAATAATTTTTGCTACAGACTATTAAAAAGCTGTCCTAACTTGTAACTCTGTTTAATGTTATTTGTGGCTTTCATTGACAAAATGTTTGAACCTTTAGTATGTAATTATAAAAAAAACATCATTAAATAGATATAAAAAAATGTCCAATGTCAAAAAATAAATGTCAAAATTTTTTTAACATAGAATTTTGTAAAAAAAATTTTCATGTTCCTGGTATCTTTCTTGAAATTTTTCTCTGGGGCGCGAGTTCTGACACACCCTCTATATGCCACGTATATACATATTCTTAATACATCATTTTTAATACGTCATTTTTAGATCATAATCTTCAACTAAAAAATTACCATGGTAGGTTGCCATTAAAAAAAAAATTTTTTTCCAGAACTCGAAAACTAAAAGAAATTTCGAAAAATGTTATTCTTGATAAATGGTCACATTTTAATTGTACTTTACGCTACACTAATAATTTTTTTCGTAAAGTGCTTAGTTTACGAAAAAAACGCTTGGTTCCATACTTTTTATTCACCTGGTATGTATGTCGTAGGTTAATTACAAATTCGGCAAATGCCTAGTCATTTTGTAAACGACTTGGCAAATTGTAAATGAATCAATAAATGCAGGGTTTTTACAATATGACGGAAAATTTTAGACGTATTATAAAAAGCCTAATAAGTTTTCGTCTTATTGTAAAATGTTTTTTTAATATTTACCATTTAAAAAATGACTGAATACATTCAATCGCTTTGTAAAAAAAAAACTGAAAAATATTAGGCATTATATAATACCAGTTCCTGAAGCCTGTTAAAAAAAAACAAGGTTAATATTTAACGTTACGAGAATGGTAAAAGGGTTTTTACTGGCGATGGGAGAGTGATGTCACCATTATCAACATTAAAAATTCTAGAAATTGTAGCGTTTGAAAAAAATTATTCTGATATTTGAAAAAATGGTATGACCTTTACACGTATAACTGGCTAACCAATAAAATATGTCACTTTACTAGTTTTTTACTAGTTAGCCAGTTTTAAGACATTTTTAAGATGAATATAGTGACTTGATAAATTGATGTTTACAAGTAAGAAACAAAACGTTTTTAATGAATTAAAAAAAAAAACAAATAAATTTAAGGAACAAGGACATAACTAATTTAACCTAATTATAGCTCATTTCTTTGTATAGCACTGCAACTTGCTTGGTTTGCAACAACATTTTTTTAAACCCTTGTCCCACAAATTTAGAAAACTTGGCTAAAACTTCTCTCAGTCAAAATTTTTAGGTATAATATAAATTTAATGTTCAAACCAACAATTTCAATAATACTGACTTGCCAACAGCCGTATTTTAATACGCCTAAATAACACAGGTTCGTTTCAATCGTATTATAAATGAATTATAGGTATTCTATACAGGGTGCGCCAGAACTCGCGCCCCAGAGAAAATTTTCAAGTAAGGTAAGATAGCAGGAACATGAAAAAAATGTTTAAAAAATTCTATCTGTCAAAAAATTTTGACATTTGACATTTTTTATATCTATTTAAAGATACTGATGATCTTGTATATGTTTATTACAATTATTTAGTAAAGGGACAAAAATTTTGCCAATAAAATCTACAAATAACATTGAACAGAGTTACAATTTAGGATACAATTTCCTTGTTTCCTCTTTTAATAGCCTGTAGCAAAAAAACATTGAAAATTATTTTTCCCACAGAAATAAATAGAGTCAAAGTGCAAAATTTAAACTCTCATAACTTTAATATTCCTATAGATAGACTTTTGTTAACATTTTTTCCATGTACCTGGAATTTCTTCCCTTCATGGTATTTGTCTTTGGGGCGCGAGTTCTGGCACACTGTATGTGCATATGATGTAGAACATGACTCCTTCAACTTTTAGAATCGCGATATCTCAGGAATGGTGATTCTTTGAAAAAAACTGTAACGACCATTTTTGAAGATAATTTTAAGATATAATTTTTGTCTGGGCTACTTTTTTAATAAAACTTACCGTTTTCGAAAAAAATCTAAAAAACCTCAAATTTTGACCTTTGACCCCGAATAACTTTTTTAGCACACATGGGATCGATGGGGACTTTTGACACTTTATTCCTAATGCTGTACCCAAGGTCTCCACCAAAATTTAGCTCTGTCGAAATTTTCGTTATTTGACTACTATTTTTATGTCTAATTTGCCCAGACTATTATTTTTTATAGAGGTGGGAATTCAAACACCCGCAACCCTTCCTTCGAACTCGGGAATTTTTATGGCAGGAAGGCCACACGGCTTACGCTTTGAAAGAGGACGCGGATGAGGAAGTAAAAACAATCTTGGGTAAAAATAGTTGCTTTTTGATTGATAAAAAATTGAATTAATTTTCCATCAGACTTGTATGCTACAATTTATACGGATATTTTGGCAATTCCGGTCATCAAGGGTCGCAAAACCGAAAAAGAAAAATTCGCAGGAGGTGACTACACTCTAACTGTTGAAGCTTTCGTTTCTGCAAGTGGTCGAGCAATCCAAGGGGCGACTTCGCACCATTTGGGCCAAAACTTTTCGAAAATGTTTGAAATAGTTTACGAAGACCCCGAAACGCAAGAAAAAAAATACGTTTATCAGAATTCGTGGGGCATCACGACTCGAACTATCGGTACTTCATTTTAAAATATTGCTTCTTGTTATTTTGTTGAAATACTTTGATTTAGCCTGATTTCCGGCCTTAAATTCAGCCAAAACCATTGGAAATTAATAAAATGGTCTTATTTTAACCCGAAACGACGAATGAACACACATTTTGTTGTTTTTTAGTAAGAAAACCCTGCAAATTAATGTATTTTTTAAACAAAATAAGTACTCATTCGCTGTTTCCGGCCAAAATAATACGATTTAAGTTAATAAATGTATTTTTTGAGCTTTCTATGAAAAATAAGACGATTTTGATTCATTTCCAACGGTTTTGGATGAATTTTAAGCCAGAAACAAATCCATGTATTTCAACAAGATACGTGTTTAAATACCAAAATGCAATTTACGCAACACAAATTGCTTTATTTTGCAAGAAAACTCTTATTCAAGCATTTATTTTGTTGAAATACTTTGATTTAGGTTGATTTCCGGCTTAAAATTCAGATAAATC